TTCAGACAATATGGTCTCTCTTGCTTTTTACATTTGCAGATGGCCAAAGCTGGGTTTGTCCACTGCCCCAGTGAGAATGAGCCAGATGTTGCCTGCTGCTTCTTCTGTCTGCTTGAGCTTGAGGGCTGGGAACCAGATGATGATCCCTGGTAAGAAAAAATATACTACCTGGGGTGCAGTAGTTAAACATTTAATTTGTATCTACATGCTGCTACATGAAGTTGATAAGTCATGGCTCCTGATTATTGCCTAATCAGCATTATGTTTTTGTTTTTAATTGTTTTTGCTTATTATGTACATCTGACAAGGTCAGAACATGAGAGACGCTCTAAATGTGGCTTCTTAACCATGAAGAAAGACTTCACCAAGCTAACAATGGCTGAATTCTGTCACCTGGAGAAAAAAAGGCTAAAGATTTACTACGTAAGTGCCCATCAGTAGGCTGTGTGCAAAGACACTAACTCTTCCTCAATTCTTACTTTTTCCCCCTTTTCCAACATTCTCCCTTTAGAAAAAGGTCTGTCACAAGAAGATGGCTTTTTTGAGGGATGCCATAGACCATACACTTGAGGTGCTTAAATCTCAGCTGGACTGATTCTATGCATTTATTTATTGCATCTTATTTTATTTCAATACCAGTCTGAAGTGTTAAACAAGAGCCCGCAGCCTGACTCGCTGGTCGGATTGGATGGCAGTTCATAAAACTCAGCCTTAGGCGAATGCGACACTTTCTTTACAGTACCGTCTTTGACCACAAGATGGTGCTTTTGCATTAAAGCTGCAGTTTTGCTATGACGCTGATACACTTTCTGAAATTCCCAATCTCTCATCAAAACCTTAACAAATGCACCTCGCGCTGAAATGAAAGCGCACATTGAGCTGGATTACAATGCGGGCTATATTCTCTCTTTTCAAACACTTACTTATCATTTCCCTGAACGTGCCACCATCCCTACCACCCCTTTTCAAACCTTGACCCTGGACAGATGGCCTGAAGCCCCTCCTTTTCAATACCAACTGTTGCCCCAGTAACATCTGTTACATATAGGGGGACAGTGCACTGAGGGCTTGCCAGGATACTTCTCTAACTCTGAGGGGGACTGAAATTCAAGAGATGCTGCAGCTGACAGTAGAAGGTGTGGGAACGATGGTTGCATGATAAGCACTTGACTGGGTTTGTTTTGCACTTAAAGAACAACGGTTTAACCTTTAAAATCATTTTACTTTTTCTCCTCTCTTTATGCAAGAGAAACATGATGCAGGCCTCTGTTGGTTTCTCGCTGTGTTTTATGGAAGGCTTGGTTGGATGACGTGAAGGATTAAGAGATGCTATCCCTTCCCCAACCTTCCACTGTTCTGGATTAATGTCTAATGTAACACTCTGGCCACTGAGCCCAGATCAGCTGCTTAATTCTCTCTTATCCGCTCACTGCAGAGCAAATTGAAGAGAATATTTTTAGACAAAACTAAAGTAAAATGCCCATAGGTGATGTAACATTTTTAATAAACTGTTCTGTTATCATTTCCTCTGGTCTCTTTTGCAGTGCTGTTGTAAAATATTTCCTCAAACTATATTTTGTTCTTGAAGCTAAATGCATTCATTAAAAAAAAAAAAAAAAGTTAAAGGATATGAAGGTGTATGTTGAGTTAGTATGGGGAAAGACCCAGGCTTTTTACTGATGAGGTGTTTGGGTAAGTGGTGTGGCTTTGCGTGACTACATGGATCATGAGGGGGATGTGTGCAGTAATTGCTAATGTAACTCTAATCAGGGCTTATACCCACATCCTGTGTCAATCCACTTATTTATGTGTGCTCCAGAAAATGAACAAAGCGAATAGCTCGGTATGACTTCTGTCCTCAAGTGGCACAGATGTAACAGATGAGCTTATCTGTGGGAATTGAGTAAAATATTTTAAATTACTGCATCATAACTAAGCTGGGAAGATGCCCTTTCACTTTTTCCCATCCTGTTATTTAAGACCTGAATAAACCTAACAAATCACACTTTAAAATACCAGGAGTTCACAGAGCACTATGACACATGCAGATCTAATTCAGTTAAGTTCATTTTTATTTTAAACATTTCAAACATGAGCCTTCACAATCATTACAAAATATCATTCCATTATTTGTTTGAAAAGGAGTAGGCAGAAGTATTTACTTATTTGTCCCTACCCCCTCAAGTTTTACCTCTCATTCATTTAATTTTTTTTTTTTAGTCTTAAATTAAACAAACGACATATGAAACAAAAGTAAAGCAAAACAAAAATCAAAAACACGAAATTAGCAAGCCCCACCACAGTATAGTTTCTTTCATATGAAAAATACAGAATGTGTATATTTGCAGATACACAAGTTATGGAAGAACAAACAAACCAAAACAAAAAAATCAAAAAAGAACCACAACACCATTACCAGCAACATTACCGTCCTGGGTTAACCCCGTTTTCTTCATTCTTATACTTGTTTAAAATTAGGTTCTAATTTAGTTTAGGTAATTCTAAACTTATTAATGACTGTGAGAACGGATTTGTCATGAAATAGGTTTCTCTTTAATAAACTGTAAGCAGCAAGTGTAGCAGATGGACAAATTGACAGATGTTACTAACAGAAACTTTACAACCTGGGCTTTCCAGTCCGGCCCCATCTGTTGCTCCTGCAACCAGTGCCTCCCTCTACCCTCCTCCAACGCTTCTCATCAGCATCTATCACTGAATCTTCTCCTCTCATTCTCCATAGTGCCCGAAATGAATGACATCAGCATTTACCCCCTCATATGACCCGGTTTAACCCCTCATAAACAAAGGGCAAATTAAAAGATGTCATGAGCGCAATGGATACACTGAGAAAGGCAGGATGATGTTAATGTAACTTTTAAAGTCTCATGCTCTTGTCTCCGTCTGAAAAGTTCTGATGGGAATATTATGAAAAGGATAAATGACTGGCATGTAAAGAAGCCAGCTGACACAGAAGCTTAGACTCCATTGTGATTGTGGACCACAGTCTGCGAGTGTGTTTAAATGATGAATTTGTTGATAGACGGCCAGATTAAGGACAATGAGTTGCACTGTTCATTGTATTACAAAGGGGAGGGGGGGAATAAACATTCACTTCATTTTCATTTTTCATCAAATATTCTCTCATTTCTGGCTGCTTCTCCTCTAAGACACCGCAGCCCGTCTACCTTGGCTGTGTTTTGTGCCCTGCTCCAAAGGGACCTCCATCTGTCCCTACACTCAGCCCATTGTGGTGTCCCTAAGCCCAGAAACTTCCACAATGTAGTGGGCGTGTGCAGGGGGGCCAGGGTAAACACGACAGCATCCAGATCCCATTAGAAGCTCTTTAACTCTAACACCCTAATGCTCGGAGAGAAGTCTGGGAGGGGAAGGTCCACCCCTCATCCACTTGCACACAATGTCACCTTTACACCCACTTCCATAGGTAATGAACCTGGGAGCTACCCTCTTTCTTCTCCTCCTCCTCTCCTCCCCCTCCATTTCTGAGTTCACGTTTCATATTTTAAAAGGAGCCCTTAAATTCTATTTTATTATTTTTTCCTGACATTAATATAAATATTTAAACTTTCAGTTGATGTTTTAGTGTTTTATCAGAGGGAAAAACATCATTGACTATTTATGACTGAAAGCTGCCATTTTAACAACACCTTACTTAGAATTTAGTTAATAAATGAAGTTAAACCTCTGGCTCAGTACTTTTTTTAAATTATTTTACTCAATCAGACCGTGCTCCATTTCCTCTTTCTGTCTTTGCCCACACCTTTTTTTCCAGCCATCATCTTGGTCCTCCTACCAGCTGCTCCTGAGTGTATGTTTCTGTTTTGGGGGTGCTCCACATCTCAACCAAGCCACCCATTGCCTTATGCACCCCACAGAAGCAAGCATGTGTGTTTATGCATGTGCGCTGAGGCCCAAGAGGAGGGAGAATCACTGTGTTCACCCTCAGCTTAAAGGCAGAGGGATTATCGGCACACAGACACTGATTAAAGCCTTCCAGCGTCCTATGGCCCCATTAATACAGTCTTAATCACAATGCTTTATCCCTCCATCTACCTCCTATGGATCAGAACCTTTTCATTTTACTGTGAGCAACTCTTGTTTAGCTAGCGGATTAGGCATGCTGTACACGAAAACAAAAAAATATAAGCAGAGAAGTGAATTAGAGGAAAAATTGTGCTTTATACAGACATAAAGCTATACATAGGCTCATGTTGTCAGCAACTACTGGGCTATATTCATATATCAATAAAAAGTACTAAAGTTTTAAAGTTGAGAAATCATTAGCTGGAGCATGGGACCCCCGTGTGCTGATATCTGACATGACCTCACTCTCCCAGGGGATCGAGCTACAGGTTGTGTTCCCTTGCCTGTCGCCTCAGCCAAGATGGCATCACAGAGCATGTGTTCCCTTCCCATTACTAGACCCTCATCATCATGCCCTTATTATAGACAAGAGCCACTTGATGTGTGCGTGACGCCTGTGATATATTCTGTAAAGTTATGAACCTTTCTACTATTTTTTAAGTATTTTATTACAATAATTATTGTTTTTGTTTTTTTTCATTTTAAAATAATTTAGTTTTTTTGCGCAAATTAGCAAGAAAAAATTACATTTTAAAAGCGTATGGCACGTAAATATTTCTTAATCTTCTGAAATTGCTGCATGAAAATCTCCGCCATGCTCCTCGCGCAAGACCGTCCTGTGTTTTCTAATCTTGTATCCAAAGTCAATTTATAGGGATTATTTCCATATCCACCCACTCATGTATTATTTGGACTAT